AACACCTGCTCACCTGGAAAAGCTGTTGGACTCACCTGCTCAGGTAGAAGAGGAGCTGCAGCTTTGATTTGCTTCATTTCTCTTCTGATGAAACTCACTTATTGTTTTACTGATGACTCTCTGGTTTCTGTTCAGAGCCTGTCAGGTGGTGGGAGGAGCCAGTCGCTGTGCAGGAACACGGAGCTGAAAATCAGGGAGACTGGAGACCAATGAGTGACCTTCTCTCTCTCTGGACCCGGAGACAGCAGCTGGTGTCTGTAGAGAGCTGGACTGTGGCTCTGCTGTTTCTGTAGGACAGAGAAGGAGTCCTCAGACAGACCTGTGTGGTTGATCTTGTCTGACTGTGTTCAGTCTGGATCTGCTCTGAGGGAGGTGTGTTAGAATCACCATCAGGTTCCTCTTCCTCCATCCTGGATCTCACCTGCTCAGGTGAGCCCATCAGTGACATGTTGACATCATGTATGACAGTAATGTCTCCGTGTGTCCCCTCCTCTGTCTCAGTGGTTTCCATTGGACTGAACTGTAAAGTTCTCCAGGACAGTGACGTCCTAAAGTGTAGAGGTGGGCTTGTTTCTGGAAGCTTCACCTGACAGGACACACTGGAGGAACCTGTCTGTCTGTCTCTCTGTGTTTGGGGACGTCCCACCAGGTGGATCCAGTCCCTCCTTTTACAGTCTGTCATCGCTCTGCTCCATGTTTGTTACCCGTGTCAGACCTGTGACATCACTTCCTTCTTCAGGGGCCATTTTGTTGAACGGAGGGTGAATGTGACCTTTCATCATCTGTGTTTACAGACCTGCTGCTTCAGCCCAACATCTCTGCGTCCTCCTCGTGGACGGGGTCTCCGAGGCCCAGCAGCAGGGCTTTCAGGTGTCCAGGGGCCACCTTCACCATCAGCTGCTCCATCCAGCCACAGTACCCAGGAGGCTCCTTCCAGCTCGCCTTCACCTCCTCCATCACATCACACAACTACACCAGCCAGCTGTCAATCACTCTGCCCACTTCCTGTTTCCTGCCGCAGAGCCCGCCCACCAAGGAAGCTACAGCTGTTTATCACGTCATGTTTTTTCTCATGACTTCTCCTCTGAAGCCACGGCTGTCTCTCACTGTCTCAGGTAAGCTGAAGCAGAGCAGCTGAAACGTCACCTTCACAGATCTTCTTATTGATTTCACTCTTTATCATGACAGCTACAAAACAGAGTCGAACTTCATTACAAAGGCTGCAGAGATCTACTGATTAGTTTCTGATGACAGACTTGATGTCGCTGCTTATTCAGCTTCCAGACCATGTTCTCCTACTTCTGTCCAACAAACCGATAAACACATGAACCCTCAAATAATCACGATTAACGTTACGTTAACTAGAATAAATTCAGGATTAGAAACTGAACATTTTAAATATATTATAAATATATTTTAATGACTCGGAGACGCAGGACGCGTACCTGTCAACATCACTGCAGCTTCCAGCACACCTGTAGCTGGTAGCCATGACAACGCTGTTCCACCTTCTCATTGGCTGTAAGGGCAGCAGCTGGATTTGTGTTGCGTTTAAGCACAATAAATTATATTTGTTTAGTGTAAAACAACTATAAACTGTTTCGGCAGTTGAACTTCTTTGACCCTCTGCTTGTTTCTTGCCCCCAGATTCTCGCTCTGCCACCACAAAGCTCTTTACAGGTGGGCACTGCCCACATGAGGTTTCTACGCTGCAAACTAGGGGCAGGGCCTCGTTAGGGAATTCCGGCTTAGACTGATCATAGTATTTAGAAGGTGCTAATACACGTGTCATTGCTGTGGATCAAGTAGGCCTACATAATCAGCCCTCTCGAGGACCCCTTTCAGCTGGAGCTTTAGGCAGTTGAACTTCTTCTCTGGTTGCGACGGCTCTGCTTGTTTCTCCAGATTCTGCGTTCAGATATGTGTTGATAGAGATTCCTGACGGACTGAAGTGGTTTTGGGAGATTTCAGGTCTCTACAGTTTGTGTTTAATGGGAGCTGATGGACTCATGATGGTGTGTGATGTGATGTGTCCATGTGTTTGATCAGATCCAACAGGTCTTCTCATCAAAGTGGTCGTCCTGCCGCTGACTCTGCTGTTGGTGATCGCTGCCCTGTGTTTCTACCGTAAGGTACTGACACACGTCTGTTGTTTAGAGGCCTGAGATGAAGCACTCGCTCTGTGTTTACTGACCTGAAGAAGAGGAGGAGTGATGCACTAACTCACATGTGTGTGCTGTCATGTCTCTCCAGGCCAGCAGGGGGCAGAAGCCGGGCAGGCAGGAGGACATCGAGCTGGATTATTATAACCCGGGTGTTTCTGCAGCTGAAGAGGAAGGAGCTCAGGGAGCAGAGTAGGACCTCCAAGGAGCTCATCTCATCTGCCTCACAACCCACCATCAGCTCAGTCCAGGATTTTACTCTTTTCTAGTGATGGATAAGCCTCTGGTTCTGGTTCTTGGGGGGCCTTCACAGACACAGTTTGACTGCCTGACACATTTACAAGCCATATAGTAACATGATTTGCCTTCAGAGTGATAATGGTTAACTGCTGAGCTCATATTACAAAAGTAGAACATTTGAAGAAAGATGTTTAATTTGAGATACTGTCTTTATTTCTTTAATAAGTCCTGTATCGCTGCATCTCTTGTGCCGGACCTCATCTTTGCCTCTAGAAACCTTTGTGTGATGCAGAGGGGAAGGTCAAGAGTTTTACTTTTTACGCTTCTATCATTTTTAGTCAACGTTAAGACTTGTCTTCTGTAAGGACGTCTCATGTATGCATTCCCTGATGACATCAAGATAATCATTTTAATCAGGAAAGAAGGCACTATTTGCCTAAACGTCAGCAGCCACTGTGAAAATGAAAGCAACATCATTTTGAGATTAAAGAACAGAAGGAAGGTTTTTCTTTAAAAAAGATGGTGACAACCCATGATTGATGTCTTTTCTGCTTCTTGTGTGTGATTTTCATTTGTGTGATGCATTTAAGATGTAGAAGAGAAGAAATGCTCCTTTAGTCTTGTTTTTAAACTGAGACCTGCTGTATCTGCTCTGGATGCTTTGGAAATGAGAAGATTACACAATCACAGTTTGTTGAATCTACATGATGTGTTTATATTTTTCTTGTTCATTTGTGACGAGAGCAAAGGGGTGTTGCAACTACTGGCAGGAAGTGTACGGTACCTATAAAGAAGAGGAAGGATGTGAGGTCAGAATGTAAGAACCAATCAGTGTGATGGCTAACTTATAGCAGCCAATGAACGTTTGGAAAAGGGCTGAGGTCCTTCCTGCCCATTATTATTTCAGTTGCTGACCCAGAGCTCAAGAAGAATTAGGGGAAAATAAAGAAGAAGGGGCGAAAGGAGAAAAAGGGGGAACTTTTGGGGGCTTCTGTTTTTGCCTTTGTTGAAAATAAATCAGTTTCTCTTTGGGTGCACGCCTGAAGAAACTAGAAAGAGTTTTCGTCTCTTTTTGTCTTCATTTTCTTCCTCCTCTTCCGGACTGGTAAGTTAGTATTCTTCTACTTTAACATCCACACTGCCGACATTAACACAGCTCATTACAGATCAGCAGCAAACTGCTCCTTTAAGGAACTCCTTCCAGGTGATGTGTTCAGGGCCCTACTCTCTGCAACCTAAAGTGAGAGAGGAGTGAAGTGGCTGACCAGGAAACTTCTGAATCTGGAGTCAGACATTCAGTACAGACGCTCAGGCCAGTACCTAGTACTGAAACTAGCTCGTTATCAGAGGTCGCCCTTTTTCCTGAGTGCTATCTGAAGTCATAATGCGCTAAGGGCGCCCGGAGTTGGTGACCCGAGAGAGCGGGGTTTCCTTGCAGAAGGGCCGCTTGTCGCTACAAAGCCCATTGGTTCCTTCTGAAGACGCCACTCTTTAAAAAGTCCTCACAAATATATAGTTTCATTTTAAAACTAAGTATCGGGGTCCAAACACCCGGCACAATTCAGAAGCAAAGCCGCTGAGTAGGTGACACTTTCTCAAAGGTCAAAGGTCAGTGTGACCTCCAAAGAGGTTTTCAGCCATAATTTCAGAATGAACTGAGCGACTCCAGGTTTCACACATGATGCCTGGGACGACAGAATGAGGAAACAATAACCAGCACAGTACGGGCTTTGCTCCATCTCCTCCATTCTGCCTTTCACTTCCTGCCCTGGATCCCTTTCTCGCCCTTCAAAATGGCGTCCACAGAAAGTGCTTCCTTTTGGCGCGGACAGGCTCAGTCTGTTATACCAGGTGTCTGACAGCATCATGGAAAGGATGCGAGGGACTCCCGCTGACATCCTTTGTTTCTGGCCAAGGACACTTCTGGCTCTGAAATCTCTTGAGAGGCGAATCTCACCGGAAAGGTGACGAGTTTGCATCCCTGAGGATTCTTCTTCCTGCAGAGCCACAGAAGAAATGCTGTGTGAACAGAAAGCCTTTCCCCTTAGTGCTGCTGCAGGGCCCCTGTGATGCCAGGGGCCTCAACTATCTGATGGTAAGATAAGTGGTCTCTCTCTGCTGGAGCTGTGGCTGCCCTTTCCCTCTCCTCTCCTCTGGCCACTGCCTCTCAGGAAGCCACTAGCTATATAATACAAAGCAGAGACACAGGCAGGTCACCTTGGACTTGTCTTTCAGCTCGTTCCACTTCTCTTTGGCCTGTTTGGTATTTATGGCCAGGCCAGAAGTGGGAACAAAGTCCCTGGGCAAAACAAACACATCAACAAGGAGTGACACACTGACTTCAATCAGATATTAATCATCATGGATGGAGACTGCCCAAATCTGGCTCCAAGCCAACCCCAGATATACAGCCAATGATACAAGCACTCACAATCAATCCTCATTACTCATTGGCCGCCCGCCAGTCAATCAGGGCTAATCATGTTAGTTTTAATGCACAATAACAGCCTTTCTAACAAGTAGAACAGGTTTGTACAACAGGGAACAAAGACGAGCAATCGATTCGGCCAAAAGTACAAAATCAGCGCTCAGTACAAAGTTCCAGTTCAATGAAATATAAAGTTATGAACCTCAGCGCCACCTACTGGCCAGATGACACCAACTCGTCACGCTCAGTCAGACATCATGTCTACACGTCCACCAAATGTGGCTGCGGCAGCACAAAGCGTTCAGGAGATCTGACGGCTTTGGTAACAGAAGCCCCGCCCACAGCGTCTGAGCAGACTTTAAAGGCCAGTTGCAGCAAACCTGTACGCAAAATCCTAAAAAGGACCTTTGTCCGGCTCAGTCCAGAGATGTTCTGACCCACATCTGCTGACGACTGCTCACAATTTGTAGGACAAAACTCAAAATGGTGGAAACTCGATGCAGACGCATGTGGGCGTGGCTTATATGGATGGATTCACCTCAACTTTGTCTCTGAGACGCGCAGATGCCGACCACATCCACCTGGGGACAGCGGAAAATAAATGAATGAATAAAAACTTTAATTACTTTATTACTTTAAATGAGGTCTTTTCACAATAAAAGCACGTAATAAATAACGTGCGGTTCAGTTTTAAACATCAACATCACTTTCTTTTCAACATTAACTTCATTTCTTCTGTTTCTGAAATGTCTGATTTAGAATTAAATAATTTTGTCCATTAAGATTCAGATTTTTTTTTTTCAGATTATAAATCTACTTTACATGAAGATAACAGAAAGTAAATGAAAGCAAACATTAAGAACAACATATCACAGACACAGTTTCTGGATCATCTGTCAGTTTGCTAGTGTTTCTTATTCTGTCTCTACTTTTAATGTGAATTAAAAGATCTAATTTCTGTCTGAATGTAAAAAGTGACTGACCTGCTGCAGAACAGTGACTCCTGCTGAGCAGCCGGGGAACGCGAACAACAACTTCCTGAAGACGAAGAAACAACGAGCAGCTGCAGAAAAGAAAGTTTGCATTGTGTTAAAGCTAATTATGAAATAGGGCTGCAGCTAATGATTACTTTGGTAGTCGACTCATCTGTTGGTTCTTTTTGTCCCGCTGAAGGTCATGTATCATAGTTTATCACAGACAGGGTCCTGGCTATGCTAATTAAACCATTTAACTAACTAAATCTCTTAATTACTGATATACTCCAACACACAGACTAACTAGCTCCCGTTAAGCGGAGGAGCTTTACTCTTCAGAATGAACGCTAGGATCAACGCGAGGGGAAAAACAGAAGAAGGCGAGACAGGGTAGCTCCTCCTATAATTCACTGACTGACTATTGTACTTAACGCGTTAGCTAACACAGCTGAAGCAGCGTTCTCTTAGCCAGCAGCGTCCATGAGACTTTGTTTCCCGACAGGTAAACTAACAAACGTTAGGATACTAACATTATAGCCAGTTGGCTAAAGCAGGAAACGTCTCTGAAACTTACCCATCAGGAGTAACGTTAGACGTCACAGCTCCGGGGTGCGTTTACGATGCTCGTGCATCACCGTAGTGCTGCCGTGAAATGTCCGCTCTGCTTTACAGCGTTTGAGCTGAACTTGTTTTGGCTGAAATGCTGCCGTACTGCTGAGAGTTTCTGTCTCCTCTCTCTCCGCCGCTCCGTCATTCATACTTCTTCTTCATGAGCAGCTTTGTGAACGAGATCTGATGCCAGTCGGACTTTATTCTCCGCTGTGTGTTTCACTGGTGATTTAGTCAGAGGGCGCTTAGTGTTTAGAGTATAATCACTAAATTAACCCGTTTAATCCCAAACGCGTCTTTTTATTACTGAAGCTCTAAAAGGTGTGTTGTTGGCTTTGGGCAGGAAATTCAACTTTTAAATAAAAAAATTGATTGTCTTGATTAAAATTGATCACTATCACGTGACTAGTGTGAAAGGTCACATGACCAGATTAGTTTACTTCCTGCTTGCACACCTGGAAGAAGATGTCTTCCTCAGACTACAGAAAGTAAAACACCTTCATTAACAGATAGAATTGACATATTTTGTGGCTAAGACGCACGTCTTTGGTGTGAGATGTTTTATTTAGATTGGTAGATGTTTTATTACAGAAACTGTATGGAGTAAAATACATCTACTCAAAATTGTTAGGAATTTGGGATTAAACGGGTTAAGAGAAAAAGTCAGGAACTCAAAGAAAACGCCTCAAAATTAAGTCACCAAACTCAGAAATCAGCCACAGAACTCCATTCAGAAATCTGCTGTTTTAAGGACAAACTAAACACTTTGTCAAACTTTGGAATCACTCTCATTAATAAGAATTAAATATTAATTACTGCTGTCTTTGGCCCCGCCCCCTGCTCGCCTCTCCTGGACGTTCTGCTCTGTGATTGGCTGCAGCGGTATCCTCCATGGACAGAAGACCCGCCCCCCCGGCAGGCGGTGGAAATCAAACTGACAGACTGCCGGGTTCGGACCGCACGTGTGCAGTACGTCACAGCTGTAGAGTGGCATCATGTGACACGTGATGTCACTGCAGGGGGAGGAGTCTGACACACAGGAAGTGGGCGGAGTTACAGAAACAAGTTTTACATATTTGACTCAAACTTTACGTAAATTTAATCTCAAATATCAGCGAGATTCTCGCCATTTCAATTAAAGTTCAGTTGGAAATAATCCAAATAAAGTACATGTTGATTCTAAAACAATATGTAACCGTGCTACCCTCTAAACGTGAGCTAACACTGCGCTTGGTTCGGAAGGAGCTAAGTGATATAAACTGTACCCATAAAAGGAAGCATCAGGCCAGGTAAGTTGTAACCAGTAACTTTTACTCACATTACTTTGCAAGTAACAGTTGAAACACAATTACACAACATACATGAAAACTAAAAAATGGGCCCTTTAAAATAAATGAGTGTTTTTGTAGTCGTTAAAGTCTGTTTGTGATCACTTCCTGTATTAGTCAATCCACTGTCAATAGTTCTCTGTTAAAGTGCGTGTCACCAGTTCTGTGACAGTTTCCTT